GTTGCATGAATGTACCAAAGCAATCGCAACTTGTTCAAAAGAATGAGAAACTGCTTTTATGATGTGTACAAATGACTAGATGATGTGGAGGTTGAACAAGTAGTTTTGAGAATTTCATTTCTGATTTGAGAAATGCACCAAAGCGACTGAGAAAAACTGTAAAACCAGAGTGAGAGAGAGGGTATTCTCTAGCCGTTGAGTTGTTGTTGCTCTAGCACTTGTTATTGCTTTGCATTATGGAAACTTAATGAGTGCACTCGATAACGTCCACCACTATAAATGGCTGTGCCCTCAAATAGTGTCCTATAGGGGACGATTTCAGACACATCCTTGCTGCAAAAGTTTCCACATGGGCTACACTCTCAAGAAAAAAAAGGCCGTTTGTGCTTCTCTCTCTCTCTCTCTCTCTCTCTGTGTGTGTGTGTGTAGCGTGATGTGTATTTAGGCTACTAGATGCCTTATCAACAAAAAATGTGCCTTTGGATCTTTGGAAGAAATCACTGAACATTTAATCATAGCAAAAGTTGCCATTTAAATTTCTTGCTCAAGTTAATTTTTCGTCTCATTTTTTAATCTCCAATTTGTTATTTGGCAATTTATACAGTGTACAGTATTAATAAAACAAGACCACATATTTGTACTAAATGTATGAAATTAATGTGGTGAAAATTTAATTAAATTAGCTGGCTTTATTAATTAACTGTTTATTTCTTAATTTTTTCCGGTGTTGATACAGATATAGTGCCAGTGTCTGTGACAGAGGGAGATTCAGTCACTCTACACACTGATACTGAAAAAATCCAACAAGAAGAGATTAGTTGGTATTTTAATGATATTCGCATTGCTGAAATCAGTGGAGATCTCAATAAGACCTGTCCAGATGTTCAGTGTTATAATGGCACTGAGAGATTCAGAGACAGACTGAAGCTGGATCATCAGACTGGATCTCTGATCATCACAAACACCAGAACCACAGACTCTGGACTTTATAAACTACAGATCAACAGCAGCAGCGACAGTCTTCTTCAGCTCTTCAGTGTTTCTGTCTATTGTGAGTCAGTATGTTCCTTATTTGATCCACAGTTCTTTCATGTCGTGTAGTTTGTATGTTGGTTTCAGCAAAAGATCCTCCAGCAGCTGTTGGTTTGTGTTCCAGATGTTCCTGAACGAGAGAAAATGAAGAGAAAGTCAGTGAAGGAGGGAGAATCTGTCACTTTAGATCCTGGTGTAGTAAAAACCACAAATTATTTGATGAAATGGCTTTTTAATGACGTTCACATCGCTGAAATCAAAGAAGATCTCAGTTTTATCTGTACAGATGTTCAGTGTTTATATGCTGACGAGAGATTCAGAGACAGACTGAAGCTGGATCATCAGACTGGATCTCTGACCATCACAAACACCAGAACCACAGACTCTGGACTTTATTATCTGCTGATAATCAGCAGCAGATTCAGCATCATAAGGAGCTTTATTGTTGATGTCACTGGTGAGTGTTATTTAGTGATGAAACTCACAAAATATATTCATCTTTGATCTCGTAGTTGTCTGATCCACTATGTGAAGTGAGAACTGTATGTCTTGCACTTATTTCACTACTCTCAATCTTTATGATCTGTAGAAAAGGACATTTTCACAGCATTCTCCTATTTTATAATTTTGTTTGGCTTATAATTATGTTCATTTCTTCAGGTTATGTTGATGCAGTGAGTGTGTCAGTGATGCGAGGAGATTCAGTCTCTCTACACACTGATGTTGAAAAAAACCAACAAGAGGAGATTAGATGGTATTTTAATGACATTCACATTGCTGAAATCAGTGGAGATCCCAATAAGACCTGCACAGATGTTCAGTGTGAAGATGCTGGTGACAGATTCAGAGACAGACTGAAGCTGGATCATGAGACTGGATCTCTGATCATCACAAACACCAGAACCACAGACTCTGGACTCTATAAACTACAGATCAACAGCAGCAGCGACAGTCTTCTTCAGCTCTTCAGTGTTTCTGTCTATTGTGAGTCATTATGTTCCTTATCTGATTCACAGTTCTTTCATGTCGTGTAGTTTGTTTGTTGGTTTCAGCAAAAGATCCTCCAGCAGCTGTTGGTTTGTGTTCCAGATGTTCCTGAACGAGAGAAAATGAAGAGAAAGTCAGTGAAGGAGGGAGAATCTGTCACTTTAGATCCTGGTGTAGTAAAAACCACAAATTATTTGATGAAATGGCTTTTTAATGACGTTCACATCGCTGAAATCAAAGAAGATCTCAGTTTTATCTGTACAGATGTTCAGTGTTTATATGCTGACGAGAGATTCAGAGACAGACTGAAGCTGGATCATCAGACTGGATCTCTGACCATCACAAACACCAGAA